GCTGACCATACTCAGAAGGCCTCGTTTCGTCTCCAGTTTCTTAGGGATCTGGACCCGGACCGCTAGTTCGTCCTTTTCCAGGTCCCACAAGATTCCCAGCGCTCGTTCAGTGGGGAGCCTGTCATCTTTCAAAATTACTTCCTTTACTCCCACGGCATTCTCTGTCTGTGGAATCGCCTTGAGGACTTCCTTGTGATTACAGACCCACTTCGTAAGTCTGAATCCGCCCTTCTTCATCAGCTGTCTCAGTCAATGGGTAATTATCGTTGCCTTCCCCGGTGAATCTACTGAGAGAAGTAGATCGTCAACGTAGAAGCTATGATTCGTTTTCTTGATGTCATCATGGAGACTTTCCCTGTAATATTGGAATTTTCGTTGTAGCGCATACGCAGCACATGAAAGGGCTACACATACCTCCAAAGAGATGCACTGTCATTTGGTAAGTGGTGGGGGCCCCTGGCAGCTGGTCGTCCGTCCGCCATAAGAATCGTAAGACCTCTCGATGTTCGGGTACTACTCGCACTTAGTGGAACATTGCCTCGATATCAGCCATGAGTGCCACCTTTCCTTGTCTGAATCTGATGAGAACTCCCATCAAATTGTTGTTAAGGTCTGGCCCTTGCATCAACTGGCTGTTTAATGACATCGACTCATATTCGGCTGCACAATCAAATTCTCACCTTTTCTGGCTTGTTGGGATACAACACAGGGTGGTGTGGGAGATACCAGGTCTTCCCGAGTGCAACACTTGAGTTCTTGACGTGGGACTCGCTTAGTATTGCCCCCTCGTCCACTAGACGTCACATCTCTTCTTGATACTTCTGAGAGAGCCCTGGGTTCTTTAGGAGACTTTTTCTCAGTCCCGCCAATTGCTGTTCGGCAAGCTTCTTATTGTCTGGGAGTTCCGGTTCTTCATGGTGAAACGGGATGGGAAGTTTGTAGTGTCCGTCCACTGAGTAATTAACGTTGACCACTGTATCAGGACACTCTTGTCTTCGATAGGGACGGGATCATCGTTACTGTAGGTGGAGTCGCATTCCCAGAAGTTCCTGGCTTGTTTTTTCCAGATTTGTCTCCGAATTTAATGTTGCCATTCTGACAAAGTGGTTGATCACGGCATAATCACGGCTCACCACTCCGAGCGGTCCATTTATAGTCCAGCCCAGAAGAGTGCGTGTTGCAAACGGCTCTCCGTCCTTCCCGGTCCTTACTTCTAAAGGCATTAATACTTGTGGTACATCCAGACCTATCAGGAGATCCACTCTTTTCGGTGCTTGGCGTAGTGCAGTACCTCGGAGGTGTTCCCACATGGTGACGTCTTGGGTGTTTTCGACCGAAAACTCTCGGAGAAGACGGTAGATTCTCAACACCAATGACCTTGGGGATAGTGATGGATCGGCTCTTTCTTACTCCCACTGATCCTTCGCTTCTTGGTTCTTCTCCTCCACCCTGACTTTCACTATTGGAAGTGTGACTCTGCTGGACCCTTGTAATCACAACTCACAATCGTTGGGTTCTTCACGCCGATCATCAATTCCGTTGTTGGTTATGGTTTCCCTGACCCATCTATGCGGATTTCCTCTATTCGTGGTCACCAGCACGCTTTGTGTACTCCCAGTCCTTTTCCCCATGGTACTTGTACCTGCTTCGGTCTTCCATGATTTAGCTCCACTAGTTGCCGATTCCGGTGGTGGCATAATGGCCTTAGCTTGACTCATTCTAGGTCGCTTGTGGTCAGGTGATATTTCTATTTGGTAGTTGCCTCCAGTGATTGCTCTCTTCACCCTTTGGAAACTGGTCTGGTGTTCTTCTCCTTCAACTTCGCCCCGTTGCACCTTGCCACTGCTCGTCAGAACTCCCGTGAAGTGCAGAAGCCTTGAGTGTACTCCAGAGCAGCCATCTATACCACATACCATCTTCTGGCTGCACTTCGTTACCCGGTGATTACGACCCATGCATGCGAAGCAGCGACGTTCTTCCCTTACGGACATGCTGAGGAATGTCAGGCACATCTGAAGGAGATCTCCGCGGCATAACGAGCAGCGTTCGTCGTCCGTTTCTCTGGTTGCCTTTATTCCTGATGTCACCAGACCCACAAGTTTCTTCCTCCACGAGGATTGGCATGAGGGTGAGTCTGCATATATTCTGCTTGGTTCCTCCGGTCCTTGTCCCTTTGGGGCCTGTATCCATAGTGAATTCCAACATCCACTTGATCCCAGGAGGCTTCCCTTGCTTCCTTTTGTATTTATGCACCATATCCACATAGTCGTCCCTTATCTTTCCCTTGAATCTCTCGGCTAATGTATGTATTGATTCATACTTGTCAATCTGATGTAGTTCTCCCAGAACCTTCAAGTTCCTCATGCAATTCTCCAGTTCGTCTGAGAACTGTTGGAGGCCTTTCGCGTCATTTAGTCTCACAGTTGGACCTTATTAGCTGACAGACGTAAGTGTGCTTGTTGCCGTGACGTTTCTCTAACATGTCCAAAGCTTCCAAGTACCATGCTTTGGGATCTTGTATTTGCAGGCATCCTCGCAAAGCGTCCTTAGCGTAGCTGGCGTAGGCGACGAAAAGTGTCTCTAATTTCAAAGCATCAAGCATCTGCAGCATCCCAACGTGTCGCTGGAAGGGTCCCTTGAACTCCCAGTATTCACCACAAGTTCTTCCGCTGAACTTCGGCGTCGGCCTGTGGGAGAACCTCATAATTTTTAAGAGTTTTCTCAGCCAGCCGTCGGACCTCGGCGGGTCGTCCTTTTGGTCCTTCATCAGCGTTTGTGGTTTCGGCCGGCTCCACTGTTAAGGTGAGCGCCGGGAGTCCTCTTGGAGTATATAGCGTTTCTTCGTCAGTTTCGGTTTCAGGAAGGTCGTGTCTCTGGTAGTGATAACACCTTTCCTCGATCTTCTGTTGTCGTTGTTGTTGAGATTGTCGGACACGGGCCTTTGCCTGTAGGCGGCCCGTTTGGTGGTTCTTGGAGCAGCCAGGCCGGATTTGGGATTGGGGATGGAAGGTGTCCTACCTGCAGTTATGAAAGGATGCTGCAGGTTTGCAAGTGAGCGGACCCTCGGTCAGTGAACGCTTACCACCAACCCCCACTCTTGGACGTGGTCAGTTTCGGAGTGGCGCGCCCCCCAAACTGGGGTCCGCACTTGCTGGGGAGGATACTTCCCAAGTTATCTGGGATGTGGGTATCGTGTGATGACCCGGAAAAAGTGGTGAATGTGGTTTGTTTGGGCCTTTGAGATTGCTACTAACTCTGTTTGTAGGGTTGAGCAGTCATTAGAAAGTCTCCATAGGAGGGTCTGACCTTGGGTATAGAAGGCCGCTCCGGATGTATGATGTTTTGGGTCCACCGAGCCGTCTGTGAAGTATGATGCTGCATCAGCTGGTGTCGCAGTGGCTATGGGTTCCTTAGTTATTCTTTTGAGGTTCTCCTTAGTTCTGTGCTGCCCTTACTTTGTCGTCGATTCATACCTTCGGTGACGTTCTGCATCATCGCTGTCATGTGAGCGAACATCTGCTGCGTCTGTTGGTATTGCTCACATAATTGCCCCTCAATTCCTCCATCTGGTGGTTCCTTCTCTTCTCGGGAGACAGGTTTATCTCACGCTGCCTTGGCGGGGTGGGTGTGACGCGACAGTGACTCATTCCCTTCCATGTCCATGACTGCCAGAACAACGAGTGTGATCTGTCTTGCTCGATAAATGTATGCAGTAACGCTTAGGATCACCTACTACTCATGGTGACGTCCCACGATCGCTGATATCACACAATTGGAGATGTAACACTGACGCGTGCCAAACGCACGAGTGACGCCACCCAGTGCCGTACGCAAGAGTGATGGCACACAAACAGTGCCATACGCACGAGTGACGTCACACAAACAGCGCCATACGCACGAGTGACGTCGCGCAGTGCCGTACACACGAATGACTGTCACACAAACAGTGTCATACGTACGAGTGACTTCACACAAACAGTGCCATACACATGAGTGACGTCACACAAGCGCGTGCCATACGCACACGTGATATCCCTCAATTACGTGACATGCCATACTCACGAGTGATGTCACACGACCACAGAGACCCCACAATCAATGTAGGGACTCATTACACAACGTTACCTAGCTGTCACAACCCTTCAATTTTTAACAGAAAGCGCACTTCACTCTGACACAGGTCCTCGCGGCCTGTCTGTAATGAATGATAACACTCCCGTGTGCTTGTCCGAACAATTTTGGCACCGAGACCAGTCTTTCTGACAGGTCCTCTTCCTCCCTGAGATGACGCAATCCAGCGGCAGCTTCCACGATGTGGTCCTATCCCACGTTTTGACTGAAATCGCTCATAGGAGCGATTTTGGTTTGTGCAGGACAATAAGACCCTTGTCGTTGACGCGTTGAGTATAATTCGGTCAAAACCTGTTGAATACAATTCACATATAACAACTGCTGGTACATCAGGATACTGTTTGAATAATTCCATCAATATACAGTACATAATTACACTTATTAAAGTTATTTAGAGTTCTCAGAGGATTCAACAGTTCACAATCACACTCACGTTTTGGGGTCAAGGGTTAGACCAGCGAGAACAAATATAATGTCCTGCGGGAAGATGATGTGGGCGAGAATCAGATGTTGCCTCTACAGTAGACGGCGATAGTCTGTCCCTCAGGCAGTCACACAGCTGCTACCAGCTCCATCTCGCTTAGTAAACTATTCTGAGTTGTAAACAGTTTCTTCACTGAACATGTGGCCGGCGCGCACAATTTGTGCGTGACGGATAACATATGAGGACCCAGCTAGTTACCCTGAGGAACAACAACGTCACGATATGCACACTGGGTGACTGGGTTGTGATGGACCTGTATTTATTATAAGAGAGAGAATGGTTTATATCTCTACTTTACCATCTGTTATACGGTACCTCTTGCCCGCAATATTTATCTCCCACAATTGTAACACTGTATGAGGTGGAGGGGGGGGGGGTGGACATCATGTTCTTCTCAGTGGGTGTGTCTTACGCCCTGTGTCTCACCTTGTCTTGCCATAACTCACGCCGACCAGGTGCAGTGAGTATAGGGCGAGCGGTGCCGTGTGTGTATCGATTTACTGTACAGGTGTGAGTGTGTCGGGAGTTTATCTGAGGAGCACCAGGACTCACAGTGTTTATGATTAATATGTGTACTGTACGGTACTCTCCGTGACGTCCCCCACCCCCCCTCCCCCCCAGAGCTGCTGCCGTGTTATTATGGTCAGAGGTCAAGGTCGCAGCCGTGGAAGAGGCGCCACCCGACGCCTCCCCCGAGTGCCGTCTAGTTAATACGTCGAGGCAAGTTTGTAGCATGGTTTGTCTGTTTGTTGCAGGCAAGTTAGGGGTTTGTGTTTGTGTGAAGCAAGTGATGGGTTGTTAGTATGAGGGAAGTAACGGGTTTGTTTGTTTGTTTATTACAGCCGAGTAACGGTCCGCGGCCTGGGTACTCTCAGGGTCATGCTGGGGGCGGCCCACCTGGTAAGGGAGGGCGGCCCCCCTCCAACCCCGGCCCGGGTCCTGCTGCTGTCCAGTACAGACACGTCCCCCACGCCCCCCACGCCCCCCACGCACCCCACCCAGCACCGCCACAGCAACAGCCACCACAGCAGGGGCCCCCACAGCAGGGCCCCGGGCCTCACCACCAGCAGCAGACCTCACAGCAGCAGGGACCACAGCAGCAGGGACCACAGCAGCAGCAACAACAGCAGCAGGCGGGCGCTCCACAGTGGGTAGGGCCCAGCCCGCAGCAGAAGGCGCAACAGCAACAGCAGCAGCAGCAGCAGCAGCAACAGCAGCAGCAGCAGCAGCAGCAGCAGCAGCAGCAGCAATCAAGCGGCTCACAGCAACAGCAGGGGCCTCAGCAGAGTGGGGGCGGCGGGGTGGGTGGTGGTGGGCCACAGTACGGAGGGGTGAGGTACCCTGGGCCACACTCAGGACAGCCTCCCGTGGCCACCCAGCAACCCTCCTACCCTCTACCATCCTCCTACCACCAGGTATGTTACTAGTGCCAGGCCCTCCTAGTGTGGCCAGGTCCCCCGAGTGTGGCAACCTTGCCTTAGTGCGATCAGGTCCTCCTAGTGTGGACACCGTGCGTTAGTGTGGCCTTGTATCCTTGTTTGGCCACCCTCCCAAAGTGTGGACAGGCTTCTCCTAGTGTGGCCAGGTCTGTTTGTGCAGTTAGGCCTCAATGTAGCCAAGGTTCCCTTAATGTTGCCAGGTCCTCTGGTGTAGCCAGGCTCCCCCTAGCCTAGAGGGACCAGGAAGCCCTGAGAGTGACGAGGCTTCTCTTAGAAAGGCCGGGCCTACCCTTTTATAGCCACAGCTGCCACCGGTTGGCTCTAGTGTGTTGATTGCCCCGTGTATGGCCAGGTTGTTCCTAGTGTGGCCTGGCTGTTGTTAGTGTGGCCTGGCTGTCCTTAGTGTGGCCAGATCGCGCGTAGTTTTGCTGAATTCTCTCTAATCTTGCTAGGATGCCTCAGGTTCCTTTTGCTCGCTATGGCCACCCCCCATAGATTGGCCAGGCTTCCCAATTATAGCCAGGTTTTAACCCTCGCCTCACTTGGCCAGGATCGCCCTTAGTGTGGCCAGGCTCCCCGTAGTATTGCCGAGGTATGGCCAGTTTCCCCAATAATATGACCATGTGGCCAGGCTCCCCTATACTGTGGCAAAGTTGTGGCCAGATTCACCCCATAGTGTAGCTAAGGTGTGACCAGACCCCCATAATGTGGCTAAGGTGTGGCCAGACTCCCCATAGTGTGGCCAGTTTCCCCTCAGTGTGAATAAAGTGTGGTCAGGCTTCCCTCATAATGTGGCTAAGATGTGGCCAGGCTCCCCTATAGTGTGGCTAACGTGTGATCAGGCTCCCCCATACTGTGGCTAAGGTGTGGCCAGGCTCCCCATAGTGTGGCTAAGGTGTGGGCTAGGCTCCCCCATAGTGTGGCTAAGGTGTGGGCTAGGCTCCCCCATAGTGTGGTTAAGGTGTGGTCAGGCTCCCTCATAGTGTGGTTAAGATGTAGCCAGGCTCCCTCATGGTGTGGCCAGGCTCCCCATGATGTGGCCAGGTCCACCTATAGTGTGATTAAGGTGTGGCCAAGGTTTGACCAAGTGACCCCCCATGATGTGGCCAAGGTTTGACCAGGTGACCCCCCATAGTGTGGCTAAGGTGTGGCCAGGCTCCCTCATGATGTGGCCGGATAGTCAATCGTCACTCCTCTGTCGGGTCAGAACTCACGGTTCATCCTAACGAGATCGTGGTGCATTATACCTCCATCTTGTCAACTTTTAATACATTACGTTATCTTATACATTACGTTATCTCCTATACATTACGTTATCTCTTATACATTACGTTATCTCTTATACATTACGTTATCTCTTATACATTACGTTATCATTTATACATTACGTTATCTTATACATTGTTATCTTATACATTACGTTATCTCTTATGCATTACGTTATCTCTTATACATTACGTTATCTCTTATACATTACGTTATCTCTTATACATTACGCTATCTTATACATTACGTTATCTCTTATACATTACGTTGTCTCTTATACATTACGTTATCTCTTATACATTACGTTATCTCTTATACATTACGTTATCTCTTATACATTACGTTATCTTATACATTACGTTATCTCTAATACATTACGTTATCTTATACATTACGTTATCTTATACATTACGTTACCTGTTATACATTACGTTATCTCCTCTACATTACGTTTTCTTATACATTACGTTATCTTATACATTACGTTATCTCCTCTACATTACGTTATCTTATACATTACGTTATCTCTTATACATTACGATATCTTATACATTACGTTATCCCTTATACATTACGTTATCCCTTATACATTACGTTATCTCTTATACATTACGTTATCTCTTATACATTACGTTATCATTTATACATTACGTTATCATTTATACATTACGTTATCTTATACATTGTTATCTTATACATTACGTTATCTCTTATACATTACGTTATCTCTTATACATTACCTTATCCTATACATTACGTTATCTCTTATACATTACGTTATCTTATACATTACGTTATCTTATACATTACGTTACCTGTTATACATTACGTTATCTCCTCTACATTACGTTTTCTTATACATTACGTTATCTTATACATTACGTTATCTCTTATACATTACGTTATCTTATACATTACGTTATCCCTTATACATTACGCTATCTTATACATTACGTTATCTCTTATACATTACGCTATCTTATACATTACGTTATCTCTTATACATTACGTTGTCTCTTATACATTACGTTATCGTTATCTCTTATACATTACGTTATCTCTTATACATTACGTTATCTCTTATACATTACGTTATCGTTATCTCTTATACATTACGTTACGTTACCTGTTATACATTACGTTATCTCTTATACATTACGTTATCTCCTCTACATTACGTTTTCTTATACATTACGTTATTCTTATACATTACGTTATCTCCTCTACATTACGTTATCTTATACATTACGTTATCTCTTATACATTACGTTATCTTATACATTACGTTATCCCTTATACATTACGTTATCCCTTATACATTACGTTATCTTATACATTACGTTATCTCTTATACATTACGTTACGCTCTTATACATTACGTTATCTTATACATTACGTTATCTCTTATACATTACGTTATCTTATACTTTACGTTATCTCTTATACATTACGTTATCTCTTATACATTACGTTAAATCTTATACATTACGTTATCTTATACATTACGTTATCTCCTTACATTACGTTATCTTATACATTACGTTATCTCTTATACATTACGTTATCTTATACATTACGTTATCTTATACATTACGTTATCTTATACATTACGTTATCTCTTATACATTACGTTATCTCTTATACATTACGTTATCATTTATACATTACGTTATCTTATACATTGTTATCTTATACATTACGTTATTTCTTATACATTACGTTATCTCCTTTACATTACGTTGTCTTATAAATTACGTTATCTCTTATACATTACGTTATCTCTTATACATTACGTTATCTTATACATTACGTTATCTCTTATACATTACGTTATCTCTTATACATTACGTTATCTCTTATACATTACGTTATCTCTTATACATTACGTTATTTCTTATACATTACGTTATCTCCTCTACACATGCATCTTATATATTACGTTATCTTATACATATGTTATCTCTTATACATTATGTTCTCATATACATTTATCCTTATACATAGTTATCTTATACAATTTATCTCTTATACAGTTACCTTTTACTTTATAATTATCTTATTCTACATTACGTTATCCTTACACATGTTATCTCTTATAAATTACGTTATCTTATACACATGTTATCTTATACATTACGTTATCTCTTAACACATTTATCTTATACACATGTATCTTATATACATTACGTTATCTCTAACACATTTATCTCTTATACACATGTTATCTCTATACATACTGTTATCTCTTATACATATGTTATCTCTAACATTACGTTATCTCTTTACATTACGTTATCTTTATACATTACGTTATCTTATACATTACGTTATCTCTACATTACGTTATCTTATACATTACGTTATCTCTTCTAATCTTATTTTACGTTATCTTATACATTACTTATCTCTTAACATTACGTTATCTTATACTACGTTATCTTCCATTACGTTATCTCTTAACATTACGTTATCTCTTATACATTACGTTATCTTATACATTACGTTATCTCTTATACATTACGTTATCTCTTATACATTACGTTATCTCTTAACATTACGTTATCTCTTATACATTACGTTATCTTATACATTACATTTATCTTATACATTACGTTATCTCCTCTACATTACGTTATCTTATACATTACGTTATCTTATACATTACGTTATCTCTTATACATTATGTTATCTCTTATACATTACGTTATCTCCTCTACATTAGGTTATCTTATACATTAATTTGTCTTATAAATTACGTTATCTCTTATACATTACGTTATCTCTTATACATTACGTTATCTCTTATACATTACGTTATCTCTTATACATTACGTTATCTCTTATACATTACGTTATCTCTTATACATTACATTTATCTCTTATACATTATCTCTTATACATTACGTTATCTCTTATTCATTACGTTATCTCTTATACATTACGTTATTTCTTATACATTACGTTATCTCTTATACTTTACGTTATCTCTATACATTACGTTATCTTATACATTACGTTATCTCTATACATTACGTTATCTCCTATACATTGCGTTATCTCTTATACATTACGTTATCTCTTATACATTACGTTATCTCCTCTACATTACGTTATCTCTTTATACATTACGTTATCTTCTATACATTACGTTATCTTATACATTACGTTATCTCTTATACATTACGTTATCTCTTATTCATTACGTTATCTCTTATACATTACGTTATCTCTTATACATTACGTTATCTCTTATACTTTCGTTATCTCTATACATTACGTTATCTTATACATTACGTTATCTCCTATATTACGTTATCTCCTATACATTACGTTATCTCTTATACATTACGTTATCTCTTATACATTACGTTATCTCCTCTACATTACGTTATCTCTTATACATTACGTTATCTTCTATACATTACGTTATCTTATACATTACGTTATCTCTTGTACATTACGTTATCTCCTATACATTACGTTATCTTATACATTACGTTATCTCCTATACATTACGTTATCTCTTATACATTACGTTATCTCTTATACATTACGTTATCTCTTATACATTACGTTATCTCTTATACATTACGTTATCTCTTATACATTACGTTATCTCTTATACATTACGTTATCTCTATACATTACGTATCTCTTATACATTACGTTATCTCTTATAAATTACGTTATCTCTTATACATTACGTTATC